TAGAAGCGTGAACCTCCAATGGCTGATATATACTCATTTAACATTAGAGACAAACTCTCATAGTAGAGTAAAAAGCGAGCCACTATCGCAAAATGAAGAAAAGATTATATCATCTTTTTGAGGTTTTAGATCATGTTGGGCTATAACAGTTAACGTTGCTAGAGTACTTGATAAAGTTTCAAATCACTCTACTAGAAGCAACACCGTTTACAACTCACTTGGCAATTGAATACGACTTGGCAATTACAAATATGTGCTGGAGTCCATATATGAAATCAATAAACTCAATGCAATATTTTTATTTGGCGGTGTCAATAGATGTTAGAAGAGTGCGATTACAAAGTCTTCTCTTTAACTTTATCATACATTAACTCAATTTAGCTATGTGATTTGTTTTGTTTGTCTCTTCATGATCAAGTCACTTGCAAGTTCGAGCTCTTCCAATTGAATCATGATTTTGCTAAGTTTCTCTATGATATCAAATAGCGCCGAGTCATTTAGGAATGTTCCTTTGACATTACATTCAAATCAAATGATTAGGAAGTCAATATTCTTAAGTACTCACCGCACTCTTGGGTTCAAAGTGCGTACTTAACCGGGAGACTACTGTACAGTCAACATCAGTGTCAGGACCGTCACCGTCAACCACGTTTTTATTGACCACGATTGCGTTTGCATGGACCACGTAAGCACTGACCACGTTCACATAAACCACGACCGCGTGAATCCTGACCACGTTTGCCATCCGACTACGATACATCCTTACCACGTCCAACTACTACCATGTTGATCCAACCACATTCATCGCAACTGTTGTACACCCTGACCACGTCCGACTATGATCGGACGGGGGTATGGTCGTCGCTTTCGCGACCTGTGCGCCGCTCGGGGGAAAAATTGCGCGGAGGGGGTGGGGGAGAGGGCTCCCCACTTTCGGGGGAACGCGAGGTCTGCCCGGGAGAGCTTTCTGCCCGCAGCCCGACCACCCGGGGAGTGTCGCAACCTTTAAGGGTCCGGGGAGCCCTGAGTGGCGAGGGTCTCCATACACCATATATTAACATGTTTAATCCGTAACATTACACTGGTGCAGAATGATTTAGTGAATGTCAAATTGCTAACCAAAGAGTGCATTGGAAAAGAAAAAACTTGGTTTTTTTGGCTTCAGGAATATGAGCCGGCTTTGCAAGGAGGATGTAAGGATCGTCACGTTCGGTACACTTCTCATTCACTTCCGGTACGAGGAGGAACTTCAATTCTTCTAGAAGTACATCCCGTGGAAGATCAAAATTGGAGGGAAATAAGTGAAGAAAGTTCTATATTATGGCACTTAATTATAGTGATCGTGTTTAGTCACATAGTAGGCCTGCATAATCATATTCGTCCAAGTGGATACGACATTTCACTTTTCATATCATTATGATGTATTGGAAAATGGATGAAGCTAGCAAACAAGGAAAAGCGGTATTGGCATGGCATTGTTGGACCGAGTAGTGCAGGGTTTAGTGATTTATAAACGTGAAACTCATGTCCCCTCCCGTGAAAATCCTGGTACTTGGAAGATGTATGCTCCGTGTATCGTACATGGCATTTTCGAGACGATAGACGTATGAGGTTATGAGCAGGCATAGTGCGAAAAAACCATATCTCGAGTTTAATGATAAGTTATCATTAACTTTAAACTAGGATCAGAGTTTTATTCCTGATAATTGTTTTATCTTGGTGAAGAAGAGGGGAGCCCCAAGCATGCTCCTCACCTGTGTGAGAGTAAGAGAAAAAAAATACATAGTACAAGTTCCCTGCGGGAAGGGATGCCGCGAGGGAGAGCCCTTAGTGAGCGAGCGAGAGCGGGGCGAGCTAAAGCGGGAGGTCGGGCTGCGGGCCCTGGAGGGCTTTCTGCCCGCCCGGGCCCGCAGCCCGACCTCCCGAAAGTTGGGGTTGGAGTCGCTGCGGCTTTTGCAGGGCACCGCCGCGACTACGGTCGTCGACTACGCGACTACGGTCGTCGTCCGACCCAGCAATCACCAGATTGATGAAAACTAAAAACAGATGCAATTTAGGATAATTCATGGTAGCGGCCGATCAAGCGAGCAGCTGGAGAGCGAAGCCGATGGTGGTGGAAAATGATGATGATAAACGGACGTTTGAAAAAACCAGAGAAAAAACTCTCTAGTCCGCAGAACAAATTTGTTGGTTATCCAATCAATGAACTATCAAAAACTTCAAAAAATTGTTACAAACTTTCGAAGAACTCTTAAAGTCCCAAAAAAAATAAAATTTGCTAAGCTTCTCTCACAAACCGGGGCCAGAGTAAACTGAGACAACAAGTAGAACCATAAACCAAAAAACAGTGAGAAAAAAAACTCTCAACTTAAGAAAACGCTCATGTCCTCACGAACTCGTTGTCGAATGTTTGTCACCGTTGAAAACAAAAGGAAGTGTCAGAATTGTCAGCACTCTCAAAGTTCTGTCACTTTCAGACACACAAACACTATCTCCTTCAAAACTTGTCAAAAACTCCAAATCGAAGACTCGGCTTTAATACCAATTCTTAACATACAAGCAAGAGTCATTCAACCCAAGTTGAAAGACACTAGACATTCATTTAACATGGTTCATCCTCAAAATCTACGTCCAAGGATATAACACTGAGAAATTTTATTAATATTTGAATATATAATTCGCATTCGCATAAAAATTTTGGGCATATATTTATATCCAAAGTAAACAACACACCTAATTATAATTTGAAATTATTTTTTAACCAGAATTAAATTTAACATCTCATCATAAATAATCAAATTGAGACTTGTTGATATTTTGTAGGAAGGTTCAATATAATCTATAGTCGGATGGGTTTAGTGTTCTGTAATATTATTTTAATGTGTGATTCTATTTGATGCAGTCTTATCTTCCCTAACTACACTTCTTGCTACTTTACTCTCCTTGTCATTTATGTATTTGGTAGAGGATCGTATTCATGGAGACATAGCGCTATCATGTGCAATATAAGAGAAGGAGCTTCCCGCTGTCCAGGTCGGGAATGTCGTCAAAGCCATCCATCTATCCACCGTGGCGTTGATCGTGCGTCATTCGGAGCGAGTGCCGATCGATCGCCACGTAGGCCGCGCCAAGTTTGAGCTTTCATGATTCAAAATCCCGCGCTTCCGGTCATATATGAACTGCAACGAAAGCAGAGCTCCTACAGACCAGAGCTTCGATCCCGCACTCGCAATTGCCACCGACGGATTTCTGCGCGACGACATTCCTTTGGACAGTCTTGCATCTGGTCGACGCCGCGTAAGAGAAGGTGAGTTCTGTCACCTGAAGCCTGCAGTCATGCGCACAAACGATAAGATCAGGTCGATTTGGTCTCTGTCATCTCGGATCCATTCCCTTGGGGTTTTCTGTTTTCGGTACTTGTGTACTTCTTCACCTCTCTCCACGTGTTTTCGGCATTCTCTGCGTCCTTTCCTGGCTTGATCAAGATGTTCGTGTGAAGTCACGTAAGACTGTTAAAGCCTGTCGCTCATCCTATGGTCGATTACTTTCGATTCCGCTCGTCGAGTTCTCAGTATTGCTGATGACCCTCGACACAGGTCGTGTCGAGGGTACTCTGGATAGCTGTGCCGCCGGTAACCTCCTCAGACTCTGGGAGCTTGAAGGTGCATGGCTCGTGGAGTTGAGTCATGCGGGCGTCAGCGTTCTTAACCTGTTTAATACAATGTCTTGTAGATGGCTCGAACCAAGCAAACCGCGAGGAAGTCTACTGGTGGTAAGGCTCCGCGCAAGCAGTTGGCCACTAAGGCCGCGAGGAAGTCTGCTCCTGCAACTGGGGGCGTCAAGAAGCCGCACAGATATAGACCTGGAACCGTTGCGCTTCGTGAAATTCGGAAGTATCAAAAGAGCACAGAATTGCTGATCCGCAAGCTTCCTTTTCAAAGGTTGGTCAGAGAGATTGCTCAGGATTTCAAGACCGACCTTCGTTTCCAAAGTTCAGCGGTCCTAGCCTTGCAAGAGGCGGCTGAAGCTTACTTGGTTGGTCTTTTCGAGGACACAAATCTGTGCGCGATCCATGCCAAGCGTGTCACTATAATGCCTAAAGATATCCAGCTTGCACGGAGGATTCGTGGAGAACGTGCTTAAAACTCATCATACGATTGGTTTTGACAAGACCTCATCAAGTAAACAGTAAATGACAAGTATAGAGGACGCCGGGACCAGAAATTGGCCTGGCCCTGTAGAGGATGATTTGATAGGATGTGTTGCAGACCCGGGCAGAAATTTTCTCAAGCGACCACAAACTCGTTGGCCGCTACACTGTACAGAAAATCGTAGAATGCTTTATGGTGTTCACGCGAAGATATAATAAAATAAGCTTTGCTTACGTGCAATGTGCTGCTTTGGCTGACATACTGACAGACAGTCGTAGGATGTCATTTGATGTTAACACGAAGACATTACGAAAATCTCTGCCTTACATGAAAGAGTCAGTAAAGTTGTGTCTTGCGTTGAAAATGACCATATACGCAAATCATCAAACCACCGACAGCATGTCCATCTATTTACCGATGGGGAAGAATCGTGATCATTGAAACCGAACTTTCGCTCCGAGTATATATGGGCAATACTCTTTGCAAATTCGACAGTAGACGCACTAATTAAAGGACGAATACAATGCCACACTGCGAAAATCGAATACCTCTTGTGACACTTCCTCACCACTCGGTTCACATTCAGAACGTAGATCATATCAGGTAACATGAAATAAGTAGAGAAGAGAAGGCCATAACCTACAAAAGAACCTTTTCTCTCAGTTTGTACACCAAAACATTCTCTTGAAATCGACCCATGACATTGAGAAAAGTCTGCGGACTACAACTGTAGTTACCAGACTTGCAAGAAGGACCATATCGTATCCTAGGACTTACATAAGAACTCGAATGCAGATTTACATTAGCTATGAAGATGTAGAATATCGTGTACAATAATCTGCTCATTTTGCAATCATTTTTGGTGAATCTTTTTATTTATTACAATTATAACAATTGCTGCTGAGTGGATTGCAAGAAGTATATTGTCCATACTTCATCACTTCCACGAAACTTTGACAGCGAAAGCAAGAAATTGATCCGCCAACACAAGTATACTCGCCTCAACGATCCCATCGAGGGAAAAATGTTAATGGTGACCAGGGCTGCCCCAAACGTGTCGATAATTTCGGGGCTGAAGGATGTGTGAAGGAAAAAATGGTATAAAATTATTTGGATGTGACAAGTTTAGATTCACTATCGGTGACTATTGGGACAATCAATGAATAGTCTAGGTTACAAGCATGCTAAACAGAAAAGTGAAAAGCAAGCAAGGATTTCCTTCTCAATGTTAATCAATTATCTTCGCAAGTGTCACTTGGTGCATCTGAGCCAGCAGGAATGCCTCCGGGAAAGTCTGTGGTCGCGCCCTTAAACTCTCCCTCCGCCCTACAAAACGCAGAATCCCGTCAACAACCGAGTTTCCGATGGCTGCTGCTTGTTCTTATTCTAAGCATAAGGTTGGATCCGCAAATATTTATCAAAACCAAAAAACAAAATCTCAGGACACATCAGATAAGGAGGCCATTATTGACAGATCAACCATGTTTCTCGGTAGCAAGAACTATAGACAGATTGAAATTCACAGGACTCCCACAATGCCACATGGTGCGATGTCACATTACATTTTACTCGTAACTTTTAGCTACCAGATTACGCTTAATAACAGTATTTCCAATATTCAATAAGGGTTAGGAATATAATGTTCTCACCTTCTATCTACAAGTACAATAGAGCGCATTTCGCAGTTCGCAAAACTGCAGTCGAACATATCAAACACGCGTTAGCAATTAAAAGAGCAACATGATTGATAGAACGCAATCAATCAAACTAAATCGAAGAATGTCAATCAGTAAAAGACTTCTGATCCGCAAGCTTATGCAGGTCACGTACTAATTATGTAGTTCTGATTTGACTTGAGCTGAACAGCCATCACCAAACGTGGCCATTAAATGCCTCAGGAAACTGCTATGAGAAACAACAGCAATGTCCGTCTCTTTTCTCTTCAGCAGCCTGTAGGAAAATAAGAAAGAGGAAACAAAACACATAAAGTTGGTCAAGAAAGTGACATACTTAGGGCGAAGTTCTTTTTGAAGTCTGGATGAGCATTGTTCGTCATACACAGCCCTCATGAATTGGAAAATGAAGCCGCTATGGGATACAACAGCAATATCCGTCTCTTTTCTTTTCAAAATCCTGTATGCATTGAGATCGGTCATCAGTGACCGAACTCCTCTCTAGCATATTACATGTATCAAGGTACTGAAACAAGAACTGAGAAATACTATTTACAAGTGGCTGATAACCCAAGACTTGCATGTGCCATAAAGCACATGCGTGTAAGTTCATTCTTTCATTCTCTAGAAGATAAAGAACGATGTACAAATGTATATATTGATCGCGTAGTTACAAAAACGCTATTTAGTAATGCACTCACAGCACTCGTGTTGCCTGTCATCAAAACACGCTTCATCGACATTAGAATATTCAATTGATTCACTACAACATCGGAAATAGCATTTGAATCTCCAATTCGTCAACTGGCAAAAGGGGAATCTAGAAATCGCCACACACCATTCCACGAACTTTTTGGTTCGTCCAAATAATTGTTCCTTCGTTTCCCTCTCAGTTGGGCTCCACAGAACATCCTCGTCCTCTTCAACCTTAAAAGACATGTCAAGAGTTTTCAGTCTTCAGCAAGTCATATAAACAGGTGTAGACATTCAATGGAGCAGAAAGGGGCACAACAACAGACATTATCCACTTGAAAGCTCATAATTATGAAAGCTTATTATGAAATCTCATAAACGAAGGTAAGGAGCACGAGCAAGTATGATTACACAAACCAAGAATAGAAAAGGGAAAGAGTGGAAGATTACATCTGAGAAATCAATAGCCGGGAAAAGACTCCTATAAGTTGTGATGGTCTGACGCTGGTCACAAGGATGGAGTCCCTGCAAGAAAACGCACAACTGAGTACCCTAAAAATATAGGTGATTCCTTTTCACACCTGTGTGCTTAAGTACAACCAGTCTCTTGACGCACTCTTCGGTTTCGGTCTGTCATAAAGGGACTGCTAAGATAAGAGCACGCTCCTATAGACCAAAATCAGGGCAAGTACCAAATCTCCACTATGACAGCCGTGACGACTTCACATGAGGTGGGCAACAAGCAGAGAGAAATTCGACAACGTGTTTATCGGTAGATCAAAAGAAGACACTATATAAAACATAGCTGCTCCAAATACACATTCAATCTGAAAAATCAGATGTAATAACAATGCGCAGCCGAACAACTTCTAGGTACTGTCTCATCGAATTTAGAATGAATCGATGGGGAAACAGATCGACTGTAGCTCAGAAGCTTAGAAAGTCACCATGTGTTCTCTACACCACTCCACCGCAACGAAAGGAGGAGCACCACTACTGGGTATAGCTTTATGTTTCTCCATCCCTACTCCATCAACCATAAGTGCAGGTCCGGCGTCTGCACCGTTCACAATGTCTTCCCCACCAAAAATTCCAACAGCTGTCTGCATTGTTCTGCATGATGAGAAACCAATAGAGATTCAGTGTAAATAACTAAGTCTTTAAATCTCGGACAATGTCATCAAGTAAAAACACTCTGGAGCAAGACCGCTATATTTATCAAGATACAGACAAAATGAGAAATTTGGAGGTGACTAAAGCATACCTGGTTAAGGGAGAGACCACTACCAACTGCAGCGAGTCAGCGATGCCAACTGATCTCACGTGGTTGCGCAGTGCAGTAACCTGCACAAGTTACAGTACGGGTAAGAAAGTCGAGAAAAGACCGAAATGGCATACTGCTAAGATCAGTCTACGTCTTCTAAAACACCGAGGGCTTCACATGTCACAGTTCATATTATTCAAATTTGAAAGCTAACCTATGACGACCTATGATATCAAACTTCACACCTGCTGCCATCCCTTAGCCGTCAAGCTGGCGTCAAAATAATCAGGTGACAAGTAAGCTTTGAAGTCCGATTCTCCGGCTACATTGTGAAATCCTTGCCCATGCCTGACCTGCATAGGTAGAGGTGCGCAACGGATACTTGAATCTCAGCTGGGAACGGAATACACATAACCAACCACGTGGGCATCACACTGGAAACGAAATGACGAACTCGAAGTGTACACGTGAATGTACTGCAATGACCCCTTTCGAGCTGGACAGCGTGATCTTCATGCCCAGACTTGGATATACTTAGTTGATTTTGACAGGCTGCACAGAATATAATAATTGAATTGTTACCAGATGTATAGTCTTGCAGCGTCGCAGCGGGTAGGCTGCTGCCTCAGATACTTCTGCCGTCATTTCTATATCTGCATGACCAACTGGACCCGTAAGTATTCTCCTGTCATAGCCCGAAATTCCCTCTCCCCGCCTGAGCATGTTACAATGTACGCACAAGACCTGAAATTTTCCTTGATTACGATAATGTTCCGCGCGTCAACTTCTGGATATACAGTGTTTTGTTCTTCGTTCAGATTATGTGCGTGAAATGGTAAAGTTCCGTACTCGATACTCGTTGCGTTGCAACGAGTGCCCAGCAAAATTCAGTTCCAATAAAGTGCATTTACATTTTAATTTCTTAGCAATTGACGGATCAAAACTTCAGGTATAGTTATAGACCAAAAGAGATGTAGTAGACATATCTATTACCATATCACTTTCACATCAAACTGATGCGCCGGCACATGAAGCTGGATACTTCAGAGGATATCAGAGTTCTTCATTAACCAATGTGCATGATAGACGGGGGCCTTCAGATCCTTGTGGACCATACAATCGCCTGAATATCAGGACATTGATACAAAGTTTGAGCGGCGACAAGAATTTCCACACGTCACATTTGTTCACTTTAAGCATGACCAAACAACCACTTGTTCTCAACTAAATGAACTTCTGAATTATGATCAAGATTAAGGTTGAAATTGCCTCGACAGAAGGAAGTGCGGTCTGGCTTTCCAGCAGTGCCCACAGATCACAAGCTGTGACTTCTATGACCTGTTAAAAGTAACAGACTTATAACTACTCTAAAGGTTCCATAATTCAGATATTTTTTAGCGAATTGCTCTGGGGCACTCTCTGAATACTGACTCGCACCACATTACTCATAACAATTTAAAAACAAAGAATTTCCCTCGATCCTGGATTCCGATGAGTGTAACTACACTTTCTCAGAACATTCATAAACCCTAAGACACGTTGGTGTTTCCCGACAACCCCACTCTCTTTTCTAAATTTCTACTAGACTACTGCCTTGAAAGTCTACAGAGGAACGACCTCACCCCGTGTACAGATAGACTCGCAAGTAGTGGAAAGTTTCCTTTTTTTAATTCTGACCCTTGAAGACGAGAGTTCGTCTCGAATCATGGCTACAAGTAGCAACCCAGCAAGACAATTTACAAAAAAACGCAGACCAAAATTCCCGTATCATTCACGTCATCTGGGCCTATGTCAGGACTGATGAGGGGACGTAACTGAGGGCACTCAGAGCGAATTTGGCATCCCCCCGCAAAATTCTAGCATCGAAAATCGAGCCTCGTCCGCATCATAGCCCGGAAGAGAGAAAACGCAAATCCAAAGACAGAGAACATACTCTCCGTGTACCTTCTTGACCGACACAGCGGACGGGCGAATGTTTCCTACGAGCGCCGCGCGAGGAGAAAATCGCACCACTAGTGCGACGAGAGAGGGAGCAATCGACCGACGGAGCAGACGCCCAGAGCAGCGGATGAGGAGAAGAAAGAACCGCGGGGCCAAATCTTTGCGGCGCGATCGGGAGCCGAGACTGAAAGCACGCGGAGGCCTGCATCGCGAATTTAAGCCGAGCCTTTGTCGCATCTCTCTCTCGGACGACAGACGAGGCTCCCTCTGCCTTTGGCCCTGCGACGACGCTCCTGCTCCACCACCTGCAGCCTGCTGCTCTCGCTTCTTCTGCCGGGTCTTCGCCTTTTCCCAGTACCCAGTGGTCGGTCGTAGGCGCGGACGCCTTTCGGCCTGCACGTGGCGAGCCCTCCGTACACCCGCGCCCGTACTCGGCATCTTCTAGAATATACGCCTGTCGCCACGTCGTGCCGTCTCATTCGTTCAGCTCCGTCCTGCTCGTCGGTCCGACGCGTGGTCCGCTGGGCCGTCCGTGCACACATGTGGCTCGTGAAGCTCTGCGTTCGCCGTCTACCCAAATTCCGCGGAACATTGTCGTGGACTTGTCTGAAGTGCTGCTGAAGTGCTCGCCGCTTCCCACTCCCAACCAAACTATAATCGATTATCTGCGTACACTAAAACCAGCTGAGCTGCTACATCAGTAATTCACCAACTTATATTGCTAATATATTTTTGGTGCACCATACTCATCAAAGGATCGACTTCGTTTACGTGTTTAGATGCATCAATTCCCGCTTCTATTCCTGTAGGAGGGCACATCTGGGTGTTATAATAATGGGTTGTTGGTCACACTTTCGTTGGTTGTCCGAGAATAACCTGTTGGTTCGAAAAGGAGCTTTTAACGGGCTGCGGTGTGATGTGACAAAACGTTCTTTCTGCTTGGTGATAGGATGCAACAGAAAATGCGAAATCTATGCCATTGCTAGAGGTATGATGTCTATTAATATTTGTTATGGAAGGATTTAGACTCAGTACAGTACTGCTACTGGCTTCGATGCATGCTCAGCAATTAAGAATATTGTTGTCGTGAGATGCATAAGCGGACAATCAATGTTTAGCTTTTTTCCCTCGTGACTCAATTGTGCACTGTTATTCAACCAGCATATTAAAGACTAGTTCGCAGCCTTTATGATAAAAGACAAGGTGAGAATAAATCTCTTCGTCCAATTTTCTTAATTTTTTTCTTGCGTTATTCAGCGTTTGAAGGTTCCTGTTAAACAGTCAATCAAGCTATTCCCAAAGTATCGGTTCGATGATTGCTATGGTGTAGTTCCAAGGATCAGGCACATGATTTACTACTTAAGGTTCTTGCGTGGCAATAGACTCCAGGTAAATACAGCAACATCAAACCAATTACTTTCATGATGAATAGTGAGTAGGTAACTTAACCATACAAGTCACAATAATATCACAGCAACATGATGTCGAAAGGAAAAAGATATAAAGCTGTAAAGGGCCAAGTGATACAGCCAAAAGGATGTGAATATCCCATAAAGCGGCTCGCGGATGAGATCTCCGAAATTTAGTCAGGTTAGGAGCCAGCTTTCCGGAAAACCCGAATTGCAAATCCAGGAGATCGTCGAGAGCCTGAACTTTTCTAGAGCCTTCACTTCACCTCCTAGACCTGCCAATTCTTCTCTTGATTGGCCCCGCGCCGCAGGACAGATTGACCAGCTTTTAGCATTGAGAACCGTTTTCCAAGGTTCCTCGTATTTACCCTCTTTGGGGTAAATACGAGGATCCACTCACTACAGGAATGTATTGAGTGTAGAGTTGGAGTCATAACAAAATTTATCGGGGCATGCCCATGCCCCGTTTCGTGATCAAAAGGCATGCTCGTATAAAAATACGTACATTTTATCGTATCATAAAATATACTTCTATATAAATAAAGTACTAAGTGGGATGTTTGAAAGCTTAAAATGCAGAAAAGACTAGAGCAAAATCTCCTATTGAAAACAGTTTTATTTCCTCACTTATCCCACATTCTATTTCTCTAAAATATACTTATGTAACTCTAGAGTATATGTATGAAATTTCTAATATGTAATGCCGGTATGTATAAATTTTTTTATACATACAGGCATGCCTCGTATAGAAAATGCGAATGAGGCATGCCCCCGTGCCCTCGCCCCGGGGCATGCCCTTGGAGTTTGTGCCTCCAACTCCAATTGAGTGGCTAGGATGGAATAAACTAAAGTGAACTACATTACATGGCTTTCAATACAGATGAATCACTCCAAAAAATATACCATATTTTATGTACAATCTTCACATCCAGGTTCAAATGTACATGGACATTCACATAATGATACTACTTCATGATATATTCATTTTAAAAGATATGGGGCGGCTAGTTATAGAGACTAATTAGCCTTCATACTAATATACGAAAGTCACTCGTTGGGATTATAGGGTACTTGTGAGAAAAATAAACTTCTCAAGTTTCCGATCTTTCTGATCCGTCAAAGATGTCTCCATGGCAAAAGTCACGGAGGAACCATAACTGGCAGTTCCAGGTGCAAGTAGCTACGTCAAAAGCTTGATGTCGATGGAGCTAATTGCAAAGATACCTCTGCAGTCGTGTTCCAACTTCTGGAACATTTGCAAATCCGTGAAATCTGCGATGCCCAAAAATCGTTTCGGCACCGCAGTTCAGTTGCTTGATGTGGAGGAAGGCAATTCCGTAGGAATGTCGAAATTGAGAACCGAGAAGGCGGGACGCAAAAGGTTGCTCAGCGTGAATGCAGTGGCTGTGGCGGACTGTGAGACCGGGTGTTGCACATATGTACTAAGTGTCACAAGTGGTCAAGTGATTAAGGATGATTAGCCAAGGGATAGCTAAGTCTAGCTAGTTATGACTAAACTAGTTAGTTATAACTAAGTTTATCTAGTCATAACTAAGTTTAGCTACAATGTCTTTAGTTGGCGGAACGATTAGCGCAGTTCTAGAAGAATGGAGTGAGCACTTCTATTTTGTCTTTTACGAGAGGTGAGCACTTCTATTTTGTCTTATACAAAAGTTCTAGATTTCAAGGGATTAGATATTTGACTAAAAGCTTGGATTTGATTTGTTAAACTAAAATGTATGAAAGATGATTGGCTAGACTAAGTCTAGTGTTGACTTAGTGGCTAAGAAGCTTGTAGAAGTTTAAAAGTTTCCAATGGCATGTCGCCACCTCAATCTTGGATTCCAGAAACTTCTAGAAGGTTTAGCTAGGCCAATGGCATGTTGCCACATAGAGAGGGTTAATCAAACTTACCTAGGTAAAAGTAAGTTAGGAAAAATTACCACATGTTACTATCGTAACTTCTCAAGTAGTATAAATAGAGAGTTAGAGTAACACCTCTTAAGCAAGTTTGGAGAGTTCATATGTAGAGACTTGTTTCATATATGAAAGAGCGGCGAATTTTCAGTACCTTGGGGTGTCGATGAGTGTATGAATTGAAGTGATACCTTGAAAGATTGTGTGAGAGTGTGTTTAGGTTATGAGTATGATGCGGTATCATAGTCTTCTAGAATCATAATGAGCTACCGAAAAGCCATCTGAGGTAAACCTGAGTGAGAGTCAGCCCGGAGGTTGCAGGACAGAGCAGCGGGACGAAGAAATGTGAAAGGTATGTGATTCCGTGTGCGATGTCCGTCGAGAATTATGCAAATTTTGAACTTGTTGGATTTCCCGTGGTTTTTGTTCTTTCCAATTCGATGTAGAAGATCACTCCTCTCAGGCGAACACGTTGCAGCTTGAATTGAAAAGTAGAATGCCGAATTCATCGATGTTTCTTGGGATGGAGAAGTACTGAAGGGCATGGGAGCTTGCTCAAGCCGAACAACGACGAGACTTCTTTGAGTCTGATCCTGAGTTTGCCTGCCGTGGACCATGTTGCTTGTATGTATAGAAGAAACAGACATGATGGTCTTTGGAAGCGGAATCGGTGGGCTCTGCTACGGAGGACTACTCACTCGCAATGGAAACAAGATGCTGCTGCTGGAAAGCCACACAATCGCTGGAGGAGCAACGCATTTGTTCAAAATTAAAGATTTTCACTTCGACTCGGTATCTTCTCAGTTCTCGAGACTCACCTCGAAAGATATGCAGGCGAATACTCTAGTCCAAGTGGAAGAAGCTTCCAATTGCACATTTGGAATTCCATCTTAACCGAACATGATCAAATCCGATGGTATCCTAGCGTAGCTTACTCCTTTCCAATCGTTGCATCAATCGGACGTTGATCTCATCGGTTTCTGATGGCGACTTGGCTTTCTCACAAAACTTGGATGCTATGGGTGAGAGCGTTGAGTGTGTGAAGTATGACGGCTGGATGGTTTACGTTCTCTACGGCATATTTTACTCTCACATTGGCCCTTGGTTCCTCCGTGGTTTTTGCCACAAAGTGATCTTTGAGGTCGATCAGAAAGACTAAAAACTTGCGAAGATTATTTGTTCCACACGGAACCTATAAACCGAGTGAACATATGAGTGAACAAATGAATGATGGCTAATTAGCCCCAGGTGAGGTATAACTAGCCGCCTCTTAAAAAGAAAGATATATATATATATATATATATATGATCATGAAGTATTAATCATTTACAAAGATCTTTAGTTTTGGAATAAATCTGTTGTAGGTAAACAATTTGTATAAGTTAAAGCATCTTATAACCATTGACCAATAATTCTTCCAAGCTTTATTGTTTGTTGATTGTAACTTTTTAGTACATTTGTCATAAACAATATATAAGAACTTACTTCAAAGACTTATGTACTTTCTAGATCATGTCAATAGTGAAATATATACAACTCACCTTTTCCATACAAGTAAACTTTTGGAAATCTAATGTTATAGTTACACTCATTTAGATTCCAAGATAATAAATTTTAATCTTTTAAGACGCGTCCTATGCATACATCGCAATTTCAACATTAATTTTTTTATAGCAATAGTAGTATGAGGTGCTCAGCATTGGCTATAGATCATGTTAATATTAGTGCTATTCAATATCAATTGTAGAATTATATTTTACAAAAATATAATACTAAATTTCAAGAACTTTATGTTTATCTCTGTAATAATAGATTATTATCAAAACGAAGCATAATGATAAAGATTTGATCTCACGAGTACAGAATCAACATCAAAGAATCAAATAGTGTCACGAATTAACATTCTATTGAGAAGCTTTACTTCTTATGCACATGTAACTCTTAGAAAAGACTCCAATTGCTACGGTTTGTAAACTCCGGGCTGACTCTCA